TGACCTTTTTAACACTAGCGAGGCGTCGATTAAGCGTGTTGTTGGTAACTTATTCTTTTTAAATAACTAATTTTTCTGATTAGGATATAGGTATATGTGTCATTATCATTATACTTTATATATGTATTTATTATTAATATATTACTCCGTAAGCAGCGTACTTATTGTAACATTACTGTAAGTGTAAGCGATGCATGTTTTATGTATGTAAGTATATATATGTATGTATATATATATATATTTCTTACTTTTATGCCAAATCTATAAGCGAAGACCTGTAATTGGCTATCTGTTTTTGGAATGAAATTTTAATTTGTATTGTTAGCTGTTGGTCATCCAAGAGAGTAAATAAAAAAAATAAAATAAATAAATAAACCAAAACAGTCGAAGAAAAAAAACCGAAGTTAAGTTAATTCGTTAGTTATGTTAGTTGGAAAAGGCCTCTTCAATTTCAATTGTATCCCAGAAGATTTTTTTGTTATTTCGAATAGTTAAAGTAGAGTGCATAATACACTTAGTCTCATGCGAAGCGTGCTGCAATTAGTTGACGATGCCAAGCTTACGCGCTGTCTGGAACTGTTACCTATGTTTCTAGAGAGATTTTTGCTTCCTTTATGAGTAAAAACCGTTGACGATATGTTGAACATGGTAATTTTATAACATCACCACGCTCACCATCGAATTGAAGGTCATCCCTCCTTGGACCTAAGTAATTGTATTAAGAACAAAATTAAGATGTGTTTCCTCTAGAATGTGGCAAAATACAACATGATACACTTCAAAAAGGTTGTGGACGATGCAGTAGATAGGTACAAGTATGTGTCTGGTATTTTGAATGTCCATGGATGGAATGGAGTGTATCTGTATTTTCTATTAGAAACCATGTCACAACAAACGTACAGGTTCTAAGCACGTTTGTTGCCACATGAGTTGTGTTAAAGTAGTAATAAGGTGTTTATCATACCTGGTTCGGAAAGTTTTCGGCCTCCAAATGTTTCGATTATTGATTATGTGAATTCTTTTTTTGACATTTTCTTGTCTGTATTTGAATTGTATATTATCCATGCGTTTATGAGTGCAGTACCAAATAAGAATTCCATCATCACTTTTCGATACCACTTTAGATCTCGTCGTAAAGTCGTATAGTAAGAAGACATTTGATCTGAGTAGTCTATCCCTTTCTTATTATCATTGTAAGTTAATATACACAGTGGCTTTTTAATCATTTCATTAGTTTTCTTGTTTATCTTACCTGTATCTACTAAAGAGGCTTTATGTGTTTTACAGGAAGTTATCATTGAAACTTGGCGCTTATCGTGCCATTTTATAACTTTCACACCGGTAGGTAGCATTTTCCCTTTAACTTCGCCTTTTTTAATTTTTTAGACATAAATTGCTTGGGAAGCCCTCTACGATTTGATCTAAGTGTGCCACAATAAAATGTTTTCATTTTTATGAGCGGCGCTTAACCACTACGCCACCGAGCTCTCATGGCTTACTACTCTGCTATTTCCTTCTTTACCTGTATATACTATGGTTTTAAAAGTGTATCCCTCCGGAGTACATAGTTTATATAACTTCACTCCATATTTATGTGATTTATTTTTTATATATTGGCGAAAAATAAGTCTCCCATGCCAGGGAATCATCGATTCATCTATCACAATACATTTGCCGGGCGTTAAAATTTCTCTAAAGCGATTATTCAACATATTAAGTATTTGTCGAATTTTATAGAGTCTATCCCCAGTATCATTTCTTTCATCACTGAAGTGCCAAAACTTCAAAAGCAAAATAAATCTGTCTCATCCCATGAGAGAGCATATGTATTCATTTCTGTAAATGCATTTTTTTGACCAATAATCGTGAAAATGTGGAACCTTGTTTAAGCTCATCGTAAGTATGACACTGAAAAACTGACGCATTTCATTTGCGTCTGTAGGTTTCCAAGCTTTAGAGCGTGATTTTGCTGTCATTTCGGTTTCTAATAAACATTTTTCTGCATATTTATTAGTTTCTTCCACTATCTTATCAACAATATCGTCAGATACAAACAAATTATAAATCTCGGCGGGCAATTTATTACGAATAGGGATATTGGTCACGCTCTCAAGTGTGCTCTCATCAAAGTTCAATACGTCATGGTCAGGAATGTCAATCCAGTCTTTCTCACCCTCTAATTGTCCACTCTCACTTTCTGATATATTTTCTAGTGTATCTTCATCTTCAGATATTATGTATATCAGATGAGAGATTTTCATTTAAATCATCACTTGCATTTGAACCAATTTGTTCAGTTTCTGTATCATTTGCTGCATTTGTCTCTGGATCGCCTTCCCGCATTTCTTGGTTTTCCGCATACTGTCTTTGTCACTGTCACGTTTTTTCTGCTGTAATACTTGATCTTGAGCTTTTACTTGTAGTTCTTTGTTTTTTACGTCCTGTTTTAGTTCTTTTTGTTCATCTTGTATTTCTTGACTCCTATTTTGCTTATTCTGGTCTATATCTTCCTTTATTATATTATTATTTTCCTGTTGCTTTACAATATTTATCTCTTTTAAATTTTCTTGCTGGTTTTTCGTCATCAGTGGTTTTTTCATCTTCAAAAGTATACTTAAAAGTAAATGGACTATTGTTTGAGTTATTTATGGTTATTCTTTCGTTTACAGTTGCTTTAATCAATTTTTGCATGCTATTCTCATTAAGTTCTAGAGGTAATAAGGTCGAACATGAAATACAATATTATTTAAAGACGAGCACCTGCTTGATGTACATAAAGCATTCAAAGAGACAGGAGAAAGTTTACCACTAGTTTTGGATGTTACTGAGCACGAGGTAGGAGAAGATAATCCATGGTTGCGAGATACAATACACTGAAATCTACGAGTAGGTGTCATAAGACCAGTAGGTGTAGTCGGTGTAGTATTCGTTTTATTATTATTACTGTTTGTACTGAATATCGTCTTTTGAACATTCTGAAGCACACTAAATTGTTTTCCGGTACATGGACTGATATGTATATTTTCATTACTTAGCGAAGTGTGCTCCAACGAAGAAAGGTTCATCTTTTTCTTCTTAGGACCATCAAATATTTCATAATCTGAATCACTGTCACTATCTTGCAATGGAGGGCAAATTTGAACATTTTCCAATATTTTTATATTGCTGGACGATGCAGCAGTATAATTTGGCGTTGGTTTTTCTTTATTAGGAATCGCATCAAAAACAATCGATTTTTTACACTTTCTTCTCTTAAACGAACTCATTGTTTATCAACAGTAATCAACACACTTCAAAATTCAAACAGGCAGGTATATACGCGAGTGCTATTTTCGAAACGTGCGCGCGACCTCTCACATCGACGCTGAGACAACACTAAAACAAGACACGCAGCGCCCGCGCCGCCCACCCTCCCTCACTTGCGTCTACGAGGCCTACGATTCCATGTGTATCAACACGTCTCCTAACGCAAGGAATGATAAAAAAATTAATACTGTGCGTTAGGGACCTAATCCATCTCTAATGTACTTTTTTATTTACTTGAGTTCGCTTTTAAGTAAGAAGCAAGAATGTGTATTTGTCTTACTCATACATAAAGAACTTGAGACGTTAGAGCCTCCCGCAAGAAGCGAAACAAGACGATTTTAGTCGACGCACAAATCAAAAGTCCTGCAAGAGATCTGATCGATCTCCTAATGCAACCAACGTGATATCTTATAGCTCATCATTTCTACATTTTTTAGAACGTGGTTTAGCTGTAGTCAGGATTTAGTTTTGGACTTATATTTTTATTTAATATATCTTCAAATGTATTTAAATCGCAAGCAAAAGCTATCAATATATATATTCGAAATGTGCTAATTTAGCCCTTTCATGTGACGTTCCTACACGGAATGATAGCATAATATTTTTTTAGTTTCTTACTCTCTTGACAGTGCCCTGTTGCTAATTTAATGTAATGTCACATAGTTGTCTAGTTACGATGAATAGTTTTGAAATGATAAGGAAACTAATGAAAATTCTTACATACATAACGACCAAAATCATAACTCCTTTTCGGTTCGCCGTTGTCAGGTAAAAACTAGTATGAATCTTATTAAAATATTGTTTAATAATTAGTTTACTTTTTTCATAAAATAAAAATAATTTATGGTTAAGGGTTTTATCTATACAGAAATCCATGAGATACTTGACTGAGAGGAGATATCCCATCCACATCCTTAGATAGAATTGTCACTTTCAGTTGTCAACTTGTCAGTATTTAAATGTCAAATATATTTCGGTGTTCGAAGCTTACGTTTTTCTTTCCAGTATTAAATTTTTACGAATTCTATGTAAAATAAATAATTTTCATACCTTAATATTTTAATTAAATCTCAGACTGTTTACGAAGGTTCAATTATATAGGTGAAAATATGGTGCACTTTTACGTCGTCGAAAATAATCTACTTGAAACAGCTGTTTTGTCGTAAAGGTCAATACTTTAAAATTACTACAACATAATGTTGCTTAAATATACATACATCTTAGCTCTTAACCCACAGTTTTTACCTATCAACTTCAAAAGTTTATACAACCGGTGCAGTGTCACCTTATCAAATATCATTTGTCCTTGAAAAAAGTTTGCAAATTGTGGATGTTGAACATAAATCTTTAGGTTTAATGTTTTTATTCAATGTCATCGATAATGATTATACACATAAATTAAAATTGCTCTCATATGAATTACATGATTATTTCACAATATTTTTATAACTCATAGAATATGACAAATTGTATGTAATTATTATAAACCTACTATTCTTTTTATTTGCTTTACAGATTGTCATCAACGCCATTATGTGCTGTTAAACAGAGTGTAGTCCCTTTGGGGGCTGCAAAGAGCAGCATACCAGTACCTGAAGAATCTTTTTCTTTTCTCACTATAACTTAAGACCTAATAATTAAAATACCTATTACATTTTAATATAATCACATTTTACAAAAAAATATCCAATAAAATGAGTAAACATAAAGCAGAGATAGATTGCACTAGAAGATGCAGATCTCGTTATCATGGTCAAGTTTTAACAAGTGCAATTACTAAAAGATCTGTATCAGACCAAACTCTAGCTAGCTTTATAAAAGCGACATGTGCAAACTTTGTGAAAGCCTTCGATTTTGAAGTAAGAATAAATATTTTCTTCACATTATAAATCTGATATTGTATAGGGTAGGTGCACCGATAGCAAACTGATTATGCAACATTTTCAAAGTAATTTTGATAATGTGAATCAATCATTGCAACACCATATAATGAAAAAAATATATAATTTCATATATTCTTGATTGTTATTATTATTGTAACTCAGGCAGGCAGTTAAGGCCTCTATCCAATGTAAGCTGTTATTAAATTTATTTTTATAAAAAAATGGCATGTTGCAATCTACTTAAGGTGGACAAGCAGGACTATTCGTTAACTTAACTGACAATCAAAAGTCGTAATCACCGGAAAAAGTGAACAATTTCAATGTGTCAAAATCACTAATTTATATTTTCTATCAATGGTTTGCAATTTTGAAAAGTCAATATTGGGGATTTCCACTTAACTCCATTTTGACACTTGATGTTGCATATCGAATACTGTTAATTTGTATTTCCTGATCATTACTTACTATAAAACTGAACCTTTATGAGTGATTTCATCTAAAATATAAAATATATAGCAACTGACTAGGAATTACTGCTATGGAAACAGAACTCTGTGGACAATATATTTTGGTTGTTCTTAGACATTGCCAGAGTTACAAATATAAAAGGGCTAGTTGTAGATGGCATGTATACCGCATTTAGTTATGATCATATGGTTGGTAAAGCTACTAATCTTAAAAAAATGGCGGAAGATGCAAATAAATATATTTAGGTTTGAAGATTGAAATGGTGTTCTACTAGTTACTGGTGTGGGACTGGTGCACCCACCCTATATGCTAAAAACCATTTAATTGTAAGTAAAAATAAAAAACTGTATTTGTTGCCAATGCTCCTAATAGAATAATTTAAAAAATGTGTTTCCGCCCTGGTTTCTGAATTATATCAACATTCATATCGCTTAGGTGCCAATAGCTTTTACAAATGATTCCTGAGAAAACTTTCCTGGTGTCAAATCCATCCTGAAAATCCTTTCCACAAGTAAAAAATCCAAAACAAGTATAAAAAGTGTGTAATTATTAACAACCAAAACTAATAAATCTATAGTCGTATACTTTCGTGCTTCAGACTTTCAGTCTGACCCTAGAATACATTTTTCAGGAATCACCTTAGCATATATGTACAATATATATGTATCTAAGCATGTTAAATAAAAATCAAAAGATACATACTTGTAAGTATGAATAGGCATAGTTGTTTTCCAGGGGATTAGACAGCTGAAATATAATTTTCTTGGTATTTCTCATAGATAGTATAATATGATAAAAAGTTAATGTTGCCTGTATTAGGGTCGGACAGCTTTGCACATGGCAGCATCGCGCGGTAGACTTCAGCTTATGGAATGGCTGATACGTCACTCCCCTGACGCTTTTGCTAATGCACGAGACCGGGAATCTGGGTACACACCGCTGCATCGAAGCATATTTTATGGGCAAATTAATGCAGCAGTGTCATTGATGAAATTGGGTAAATAAATATTTTTTATAATTTTATTACCTACCTAATCAATAGACGTCTATTGAATGAAAAGAGGGAATTTATGTACTTGCTGCTGCCCTCATGAATTGTAAGAAGACACATAATGTACAGCCAATGACAATCTGAATTAATGCAACTCTCTTTTCGTGGATGAAAATCTCATATGTCGGTAAAGCTTAACAGCTCAAAAATATATTATTGGCGTGTGAAATTCGTGATAAACCATTCGGAAACTGTTATTTCGTCCCACAATAGATGTCATTTATGGCCTTTGGCTAGATTGCGGTCAAAGCATATTATAAATAAATAAATAACTAGTTTATACCTCTCCTAATAAACTTACTATTCAAACGATAAAACACTACCTTCTATGTGTATCTCCTTTCTCGGGCGATATTAAGTAGTGAAGTTTACGATAATTTTAATTTGAATGTAATGAAGCATATTAAACTCTAAATCATAATTACCATAATACAAGTGCCAAAAGCTACTTTCATGTGGGTTCTGAGCAATGTACGTGATGTGTAATATTTTTTTATTTAAAATGATCAAATGTTTATGGTTTTTGACATCTACACAGGTGTTAAGACAGATATCGTCGACAAAGATGATTATAAAGCCTTGGAGCACGCGATGCTGGATCGTCACTACATGTATAAGCTAGATGATGCAGACCCTCGCGAGGTATATGTGTGGGGGAGCAACTCCAATTATACTCTGGGCACTGGCACTCAGCAACAACGGAACTTTCCAGAACTACTCGGATCTTTCAGTAGAAATAATACCTGCGTTAAACAGGTGAGCACCCTTGAAATCACTTTCTATTGAATGAATATTTACTCTTAAATCTTAAATATCTTAAATATATATGACTCAAAGGTGACTGACTAACATAGTGATCTATCAACGCTCAGACCAAACCACTCGACGGATCGGACTGAAATTTGGTATGCAGGTAGATGTTATGACATAGGCATCCGCTAAGAAAGGATTTTGATTAATTCTACCCTCAAGGGGATAAAATAGGGGATGAAAGTTTGTATTAAACTTTGTCAATTTTAAATCGATCGGGCTGAGACTTTGCATGCATAAAATTACTATGACGTAGGCATCCCCTAAGAAAGGATTTTGACAAATTCCATCCCTTAGGGGATAAAACAGGGAATGAAACTTTATTTCAGGTATTTTACACGATATAATGAATAAATATTCGTTAGAAATGCTGCTCAAAGTAACTTTACCACGCGGACGCAGACGACGCAACTAACTAACTTTACCACGCGGACGACGTATATAGCTAGTACTATATAAAAATTGTAGGTATTTTTCACTATGTTTAATATCGGCGGCACATCAAGTCACTATAAAAGGCAACATTATTGCAACCAATTTTGAAATAAACTATGAACAAGTTTATGTTTAAAATTTATTGGAGAAATGTAGTTTTTTATAGTTGTGATTTGCTGTCCGTATACATAACCCAAAAAAAAATACCTCACTGTCGGAGTTGAGCAGTTGACTTATAGATTCTAGCTGATTCGTTGAATAGAAAAAACACCGATGTTAGCATAGTAACTATTTATTTTGCGAATAATTTAAATGCGTACATTACACAAGCTCGGTCGGTGAGGGGAGGGAGGCGGAAACGGAAAACCACCACTTTTAATGTGGCAATGTTGCCTACACTCACAAGTATGCAATTTTATAAATCAGAATATTACAGCTTTCCACCTGTAACTTCGCACGCGTATAATAGTTTTTGCATGATAAAATAACAAATATCCAGACCCAAAATAAAGTTACTTTTAGGCCTTTTATCAAGTGTATTTAAAATATATTGTATATATATATATTTCATTGCAACCATTTATGAAATCTGTGCGCTCATCTTAAAATTTATTTAGACCTATATTATAATTTTTTTATGACATATCAGTTGTGTAATTTATTATAAAAATAGTAATAGTGATGCTAGCAATTTAACAAGGAATTTGCTATTAAAATGCATTTATATTCAATCCTGGCAAACAACTGAAATGGTTGCTCTAAGAACCTGGCTTTACTTAAAAACTGTTATATTTCTATATTTAATTAAAAATTATATGTATTCACAGCATTTCATTTATTTATTTTGAATGACATAATGTGACATCAATCATGCAAGGCTGCTTGTTTTGTCTATAGTACTTAGTAAAAAAGTATATATCAAAAACCTAAACCTAAAAAGTTACAAATGATTATTTATTTATTATTTACTAGCTTTCCGTCAGCGGCTTCGCCCGCGTGGTCTTTTATTATACATAAAAAACCTATCTATGAAAAAAAACCACATCAAAATCCGTTAGCATAGCGACTTTGATTTATCTTTATATAGGGTACAATTTTATTACAATAAGTTGGAACTTAAGACCTATTTAGTCATATATAGATAGCATGCAAATATACATTTCGATCAATTGATTTCATTAGAGCGTTAAGAAAATAGCGCTGAAAGATCGACTCATTTCCTTTCAAAGAGACCAACCAAGACCAAACCTGTTAAATTGGCTGAGACAAAAGATTATTATAATGAAGCATGTATTTCTGCCTATGCTTTCTTATGTGGGGAAGCCAGCGTAAAGATAACATAGATAGCTTCTGTATAAAAATTGATATCAATTCAGGTCCGTGGTAGGTATACTTGCGTATGCTCAGATCCATGGACCACGGATATGACATATAAGAACTCACATTACTTTATGCGCCTGTGTCATGAATTTATCTTCAAGATCAAATATTAATCGATTTTTTGCGGTTATTTCGGTTTTTTTACTGCCCTTACGAAGATGTAAAGGTTATATATAAACTATTAAGAAATTAAAGAGAATTAAGCCGAGATTTAGTACAGCCGTAGCACAGCTATGAAGGTAGGCGAATAACTTAAAGCTATTCAAGTATTTTCAACTTTTCGACCATATTTTGACAATGTTTATTTATTTATTTATTTATTTATTTATTTATTTAAGGACAGCTTACAAGACAATACACTGATAGTAGCATTATTACAATAATAAAAAAGCATGCAAACAAGTGTTGCCTCAATTACAAGCTGCCACGGCATGTACAGTTATACAGGAGGAAATACGTGAGAGATGTTTAATAAGTTTATGCTTAGTTATTCTATCATTATGATAACAATTACTTATCTGTTATAGCAGCAATCATGTTAGATGTAAAGAAGTTAAATTTTGAAAAAATATCTAATACGTTATTTCTTTTCGCATTTACATTATATTGATTCTGGCTTCTATTTAATGCCGAATAGTGTCCTAGATTGCTCTTAAAAGATTTAGGATGTAATATGACTTTTTTACTCGCCGAGATTCATTAATGAACTTTCAATTTATTATGTATAGACGACATTTCGAGAAAAAACATGGTTACCATAGGGATCTATAGATGATTACAAAGTTACAAAGCATAGATCAAAGGTAATTTGAGTAGGCTTCTAATTTAATAAGTAATAGAGTACTGTCAAATTCATTAAATAACTTTATCATCTGGCAGATCTTAAAAAAGCTAGTCAAAGTTGTGACAGACATACGTCAATCACTTCAGTACAAGGTAGTTTTTTACATATCCTTTGTTTTAGGAGACTATGCGTGTTTTATCATAATAATAAAACAATAGCACCAAAATGCATTCTGTTGGCTTACCACGCACCTGTTTAGCTTTCACGAATATCTTATTCTTTGTGTTCGGATTCATCGGTTTCGTCATCTGCTTGTGGTGCGCTATCAACACACAGTTCTTCGAAGATGTTAATTACACGGTCACCAAAAGCGCAATGGTCGGTGATATAGCTGAATTTGTCAATCTCAAACTGTGGTATACTCCGATGACGACGATACTAATAACTCTAGCGGTATTAACCATGATGACGTCATGCTGTGGCATTTTAGCAGCCGGGTGCCAAGTGAAATGCGCTGTTAAGTCTTACATATTCCTCGTGACCATCATGTCGTCTGTTGCCTTTTGGATATTCTTCATATCTGGCATGTACAATATTTATACGAAAAGCGATAGCACTCGTCGGTACTTCGAGAAGACCATACAGTCCAACTACGGCATGGAAAATGACTTCATAACTTACTTCTGGAATTATGTTATGATGGAGTATGAATGCTGTGGCACTAACAATTATAAAGACTTTGCCGATTCGAATTGGCAAAAGAAGACCAAGAAGCTATATCCCATTGAATGTTGCAAACTAGAGAACAGAACTGCTCTTACGCCCATCTCAAAAGAATGCACGTTGAGTGTGGATCCATCGATAAAATCTTATATAGAAATTGGTTGTTTCGACGTCTTAAGTAAATCCATAGCGTCTAACAAGGGAAAATTGATATTTTTCAGCATACTGTTAGTTTTGGCGTATTCCGTTCTGATACTATTTGCTTATTGCATCATCCGAGGGGAACCTCTTTTGGGAGCTTTAGCTGGAGGGTTCGACTTCATGCCTGCAAAGGCTCCTAGCCCATATAACGAAACAGAACCCGTGAGGTCATACACTGAGAACGTATCGTATGCAGAGGACCCTCCAAAGAAAGTCGTAAGGGTGATATCGGCTGTGAATCCATTCCAAACTTACAAGTTTACGCCGAATACGTATGAGAGTAACAGATACACACATCCGACTTTGTAATTACAAATAAATTTTAATAAATATTTAGACTGTTTTACTTACGATTTCCTTGCTAAAATAAATAGTAAATTGTTCGAAACTTAAAAAGAAACATTAATTTAATGTATATTTTAATAGAGTTAAGTATAAGCTGAGTAAGCTCGGCTCCGACCGACGACCAAACTTTAAAATACATTGCAATTTAGGCGCAGTTAAACCAAAGTTCATAAATTGGTATTGTTGACATAGTAAAACATAGAAACAAATAATATGAAGTTTGGTAAAGCTTTTATTCTATTGGTTATCTATTTATTCCATTGGATATAAGCGAGCTGCAAAGAAGAAATAAAATGAGAAATAAAACTTATTTTAATGCTACTAAAATTATTTAAGAAAATGCTAAATATTTTAAAGTCGGTTAAAAAGCGCTTTTGAAATTCTTGTAAAGGACTTTATAAATTTTAATTTTCATAAAAGGTGTTAGAGCAAACCACAGAATTAAGGAGCTCATTCCAATAATAAGTGAAGAATGAAAACCTAGGGCGAGGTCAGTCTGTCCTCTAGGGGAGAGCGGGGCTGGTACTAACAAATTTTGTATTATGTCGTATATTTTTAACAATAATGAACTTCTTTGTTTTATTTTTTATCCATAGCTTGCTTTGGTTTTTTAGCTTTAATATTAGTTAAAAAAAATCTTGAATTAGATAAGTACTTTCAGGGTTGTCATCATAAAAACAAAAAAAATAATTTGTTAATACATACCCCGTGTTTGGGGCAAATATTAACAGAGCTGGGGTAAGTATTAACGTAAGGAGCAATTATTAACAGAGAATAAATTCAATAAGAGAGTTAAATAAAATCTCATTCATATTAATAGAAACGCTTTTATTATCTTTAGAACTAAACAAATGAGTACTTCTTATGACAGGAACTTAAATAAATATATATATTCTTTTACTATAACACTAATTAACAATCATTATCTTTTTGCTTACAAAAAATATTTTATTACTACACTAATCAACAGTCATTGTTTTTTTTAGCTTACAAAAGTTAGTAAAAATACTTTAAACTTAATATTTGGAAGTTACGTAAACTTTTTAGTGTTAACAGTCTTAAAAATTCTCAATCAGGTACAGCAAAACATTATGATATATCGACAGTGGCTATATTTTCAAACCTTCCTATGTTAAAGCACAGTCTTTAAACTTAATGTCAGTCTTTAAGTATCTTAATAATGTAATAATAGTCTAGTTCACCTTAATATAACTTGTACTTAATATAATAATAAGTAAAATGAGATTTGTCATATCAGGCAACAATTATTCGGAATACTCATCATCTGAGAAACAATTGAGGCATATGTATTTTTTGGTATCACCTCTAATACAGGTGATATGCGCCCATCTTTTGCATAAAATACATTGTATCCAGTCAAGCCCAGATTTATCTTCGTTATAAGTCTCAGCGCAAACTAAACAGAAGCAGTTATCTTCTTCACTATCATACTGTAGAATATGTTTCTTAACAGTTTTGACTAGTACTCTCCGGGTTTCTTTTATTTTACCTTTCCCTTTACCCTTATTTTTTGTTTGACTAGGTTTTACCTTCTTTGTTGCTTTTAATATAGCTTCCTCCTCTAAGGCTGATTTCTCGGGTGTGTCAGTAAGAATCGTTGATTTCCTAAAACGCTTTCGTTTGGATTCAACACGTGGCGGTGCTTTTGGAGGTGGTCTTATTGCTTCTATGTTAAACTTTGCTGAAGCTTTTGTATTTGATGGTCCAGCCAAATTTGAAGGTCCTGGTTCATTTGATGATGTCGACTTAGGAGGTATTCGTAGGTCATGTGGTACGTGTGATATTTGATCAATAACATCCGAAATACTGATGTCAATATCAGGCATGTTAGTCAAAATTTCATTTTGTATTGAGGAATCTAAATTCAATGATACATCTACTAGATTATTAGAAGTATCACGTGGCTGACTTGATACCCGGTTTTCCGTAGGAACTGTATTTGGATCGGGACGATCAGTGACAAATGATGGTGCAAAGTCGCTGTCTTGGAATACATCTTCGTTACAGGGCCAAATTCCAGCTTTTTTGAATGAGTTGATGATGTTTTTTTGTGTAAATGCCAGAGGGAATGCTTCTTTTACAATTCCAGGGAGATCATAGATTGTCATTGTTTTCCCGGGATGATTAATCATCCAGTTCGTTTGCTGCCGGCTAATGTAATTTTTAAACGGTCCATACACACCAACATCCAGCGGTTGAAGATTGTGGGAACAATGCGGAGGGAAAGACAAAAGTATGATGTGGTTATCTTTAGCCTTGGTGACGACATCCACGTTCACATGAGAATGATGATTGTCCAACAGCAATAAAACTGGATCATGCTCAGATGGTTTAACATGTTTTATGAAGTGGTCAATGAAGTACGAAAACTCTTTTTCAGACATCCATCCAGATTTATTACCTGTACCAATAGACTCAGGGGGGCCATTTTGGACGAATAAATCACTATATCTCATCCGTGGAAAAATGAACATGCAGGGTATAAAATTACCAATAGCATTTGCTGCTGCAGCAATTGTGACTAGAGTACCCCGTTCTGCAGATGTGACTGTCCCTACCTGCTTGGAACCTCGTTGAGCTACCACTTTCTTGGGTTTTTGCACCGTTGTCACTCCAGTCTCGTCTACATTCCAGATTCTACTCGGAGGAAACTTGTATCTTCGAAGCACTTCTTCGTATTTTTGGAAAAATGAATGAACATTAGTGCGGTTAAAGGATGTTGCCCTGCTTAAGCTGGTCGCTTCAGGACTCCGAATAGACAATGTTGCATTGCGGTTCATAAAACCAACAAACCAATCTTTGCCAGCCTTTCCGTCTCGATTCCAAGATTCTGGAATATTATCGATCTTGTATTGAATGGCAAGTTCGTAGGCTAACTTCTTGACGTCATCAGGTAACAATCCAAAATAGATGTTGGCACATTTGATTAAATAATCTGCTATTATGGCTTCTTGTTGTGCATTAAAAACTAAACGGTTTTTTTTATACCCCACTTCCAAGGAAGTGCCCGTCTTTTTTTTCTTTACGTATTTAAACAGCGTCACATGACAAATATCGTATTCAGTGGCTACATCTCTGTATTTTCTATTATTTTCAAGAACTTCTTTAGCTGCAAGATCATATACTTCTTGAGACGTGGACCCCCTTGAAGTCTTCCTAGTGTAATTTCGCATTCTGTAAAAATAATATAAAAAAACATTTGCCTATCACCGCATACACACGGGGCAAGTATTAACAAGTTAATACTTACCCCACTCATTTCGTTAATTTTAGCCCCTTAATAACTTTTTATACTTTAATAGTCACAAAAAAAAACTAATGCGAATAATTACAAATAAAAAATGTAGTGCCATTGTCAATAAAATAGACTTCGATATAGGATACACATTAAATCGATTCTAAGAATAAATTAATTACAAATCAATTTATTGCAAAGCAAAAAAAGTTCGCTTACCTGTCAATCCGAGGTCGCTACGCACAACTATTACAAGCGACGACCGGCCGGCAACTGGCCGGTCGGGACGCGTTCGGCTACGTACATTGTACTTCTAAACCGAGTACCACATTAATAGAACTGCCCGTTTGGCGGGAATAACCTTGTTAATTCTTACCCCCGTTAAAACCAGCCCCGCTCTCCCCTACATAAAATATATTATTTTTTTGTAAACTATGTGTCATATTGAGTGCAATAAAGCATTTTATTATTATTATTAATATCTCATTTTGTCACGGTTGGCGGAATCGAGTTGTAACGCAATTTGGCCACCCGTTGACAAATAAATGTTGGTCACAAACAATTTCATATTAACTCTACCAAATACTTCATCGGATTTTCTATTTATTAATTCGTTTTCTTATATTTTAATTTAGTTAAAGTTAATATTCTTTAGTAACTTTTATTTATACAAATTATTTATACTGGCAACTGTATTGGTTTTTGATTGATATATGTAATACAAATAGTAAACCGTACAGGGCTGCGAGGTGGGTCCAATGCGAATTTGTTATGCTAAATCACAGGTATTAATGGAAAATGGTACCAATCCACTCAACATTCCGTGATGGACCCACGTGTAGATCCCTCATTTGGTTTGGTAGAGCTAAAGCACGAGTATTCTTATTGAACGAAACCAATACACATCCACCCAACATTCCGTACTGAGGCCGCGTGTAGGACCTAAAGCGTATTGAAGGTTATTCTTAATGTGTGAAACTATTCTACCCATAGTTCCGTACTGGGCACGCGTGTTGGGTACAAAGCGGATTGCTAGTGTTAAACTACAGGATTCTTAATTTATGAAACTAATTTACCCAGAATAACTGGGTCCGCGTGGAAGACCCCAAAGCGGATTGGTGGTGTTAAACCTCAGGTATTTTTAGTGGACGTAAGTAATACCAATACACCAGCATTCCTTAATGGGCACGGGTGTAAGACCAAAAGCAGTTTGGTGGGGCTAAAGCAAGTATACTTAATAGATGGAAACAATCTACCCAGTATCCATATTTTGCCCGCATGGTCGGCCATAATCGCCCCACCAACTAAAAATATAATTTACCTCCCATCCGATAACCTCCGCAGTTGCAGATCAAACGCGCTAAACACTACACCATCAAGTTTTTCACCTGTTGCTATAGAAGGGATACATATTTTTTTTTATGTCAAAATGAATGATATTTATATATACTCGTTTAAATAAATAGATAATATTGTAATATTTTCACATCGAGCACGGGTGCATGTGAGATTGCACAACTGATATCTGTCCTAGTGTGCATTTTTATGAGTAACTTAAAAATGCGTGCGCCTAACATAAAAATTGAATATCTTAAAAACTGTATGACATATCAAAAAAGTAATTTTAACTTAATTTTTAATAGAGTATTCTATAACGTAATCTAAATCAAAAATCGATGACACTCTTTTAATGAATCTCAGATACCCCAAAATAAATACAAAATGTGTTTATTTGAACATGTAGTTCACCGACAAAATATGATATTTGACATTTACACTAGAAGCGCTAGTGTAGCGAGAGCTCTTCACTGTCGCCACATTAGCCCATCTAGCGGCAAATTCAAAAGCATTAACATGCATATTCGAAATATCGAGTTAATCCAACAGATTTCTACAACGCGACTGAAACGACGAAAGCTACATTAATTTGACAGACTGTAAACTGTAAAATAATATAATATTGTTGGTTTTCCACAGGCATGCCTAGGAAAGTTCCATAGCGTGTGGGTATGTGCTGGAGCGTCGCAGGGTGAAGTCTGGTGTTGCGGGCAAGTTTCGCGAGCGGGCGGGCCGCACGCCACCTGCCTTGCGCCCACACCGCTACGTCTACCCGAACCTTGCATGCAGGCCGCCCTCATGCTTAATGCTACGGTCTTCTTATTAGAAAGTGGCTCGGTAAGTATTTGCTAACAGTACTAAAATGACAGCTAGGCCGTGAAGTTACTAACCCGATCGACCCCTTCGAACCCCTTCGATTACCAATACAACTAGATACTGCCCGGTCAGTTTCAGATTTTTGAAACTGACCAGGGCAGTTTCAAAAATGGCCATAACGCATCACTTCAAAGAACGGTCTTATTTTGTTTTGTTTGTTTGTGGCGATGCCAACGTTCGGATGTGTTACGATGTCGCAGTGCGTATTAAAACTGCAAATATGAATATCGGAACAAAAATATATATGTTGCAATATAATATTTTCCGGTTGTAAATGTGATTTTACAATGTCTATAAAATAATCCAAGTATTTTTAGTATAATGACAGAGTTTTATTTCTGAGCCAATCCACGCGCCAACATGGCAAACATTCACAAATACTTGACCAAATATTCGATGTTCTAAGACTTACATGGAGTAGTGTACTATTGCATTTTTTTTACCAATAATTTGAACACTAATTGAAAACCATCTTGTTGTTCTAGATTACAAAGCCGTGTGCATGAACATCTACGTTTCTATCGGACTAGGTGTTTTATATATATTTTTAGTATCTATTTATAACGAAACTATTAAAAACAAAAGACGCGTTCCCTGAAAGTGACGAATTACACCATAAAACAGAATTAATTAAATATTAAATGTTAATAATTTCTAATAGAGATGAACTTCGGATCCATTAATTAACCGAATAAGTCTCAACCTAGATCACTCACTGCAAAACTTAAAGTTACAGTTAGTTCTTTCTTTAAACATTAAAATTATAGGGAGTGATCACTATATTGAAGGAGTTTATTTCAAATTACTCAATAGTATTCTTAATCCTACAAAAAAAATTATGTACCCAAAACAATGTTTAAAATTTAAATGTTTAAAGAAACCGCATTATAGTATTCAGTGCGTATAGTCAATCTCATAAATATATAATACAGAAGACTGACTCTTGTAATTTGCATAAAATCATTTTGCACTTTGAATGTTTCTCGCACTTTTTCTAGATAATTTTACTGTCAATTTACCCACGTATGATGTCATGCGCTCTGATTGGTATGACACAAACTGCAAATATTGGAAAATTACATTTTTGTTGACTGATTTAAAATTGGAAATAATTATTATTTTGCAAAAATGAATAATCTTTAAACTTTATGAACTTTTAACCACGCAGATTTTTTTTTTATCTAAATGCTATCCGGTCCCTTATCAACGTATATTACACAATTATTTTACTAAAAAAAATAAAATTGACACTGCGACTCCATATATTTACCCAGTTCCGGAGCTCAGTTGTCGCCTAGAGAATTATTACAGAATATACCCTGTGGCATTATGTTCTTTGATTATCGCAGTGTATGGTGCCGTATTTAAATATTGTTTTAGTATGCAAGGCGTTATACCCTCCAATCCGCATTGGGCCAGCGTGGAGGGTCATGGCCTATCCTCCTTAACCATCCATAAGGAAGGCCTGAGCCCCTGCAGTGGGGACGTAAAAGGGCTGATGATGATGATGATGATGCAAGGCGTCATCTAGTTATATTGTTGATCGAAGCATACACCTTAGTTCGACTAACCTTAACATAATAGGGTATTTGACTAATTTTAAAAAAAAGTTTTAAGTTATTCTTTACTACATAATAAGCACACTAGATTAATATTTCGGGGAAATTTACTGTATTTATCAATAAAAATCAAAGTTAAAGATTAAATTTCCGATCCAGAACGAAAAACCGCCTTTAACCAAAATATTGATCAAATTTTCATTACTTAAAAATGACTGATCCACCACATATAGCCATTTTTTTTATATTAATTTCATGTTATTTCGAAACTGAAGCAGGTTTCAATAAACTGTTTGTATTCAGGTAAACTCGTTATTCAATATTACAGTCCCTGTAGGTAAAGTATGCTACCTACAGAATTAAAAAAAACCTGTTGATTTTGTCAATGTATCGGACATATGACTCGCTGAGACGTGTAGCGTACGCACCCTTACAAAACTAGTTATTATAATGTAAACGATTAAATAGAAATGGGCTACATGTTGCACATAACAACGTAAAAGTTTCGAACATCGTTGCCCGCAGTAATATTTGAACCGGTTAAAACAATTAATAAAATAAACCGTATTTTCAGTGACCCTATTCAAATTAAAAGTTACGCTTGTACTTAGATCGAACCGGTTAATATTTTCAAACCCTGATCATAATAAATTGCATAAACTTTAACAGAAACATGAAGAAACTGAAGATCGAGGACGTAGTATCTAATAAATAATGAAACTTTATCGTCACCGTAAACACACTGTTCTTCGATTTCTCTCAAACGTTTTAGATTTATGCTAATACCAGCTACACACGTTAACGTAGTAATTTACAAAGAAAAATAAGCAGCCCTATACAAAATATTCTAACCCATTTGCAGGTGATTCAGTATTCGTTGAACAGCGCAGACAATATGAGTCAGTCCTGTGCTAAAACACCGTCATCCATTAAGTTGCCTCCAGTCAAACCTCTGCTGAAGTTATCTCAACCTATAGGCATCTCCGCGGGTCGTTCGCACGCTGTCGTATGGAATGTGCGAGCTGTTTACACTTGGGGCACGAATGTTGGACAACTTGGACATCCGCAAGAGGAGAAAGTGTTAACTGCGCCCAAACGAGTGAGTCCTCTAAAGATTATCAAATTAAAAATTATGCTATTACATCTCTCCACACTAGATCTATGGCAAAGAAAGAGAGCATTGAATGCCACAAGGCTATTATTATATGACTAAAATCGTAGATGAAACGTTGTTTTTTTATCATGTTAGATATCTATGCTGTGACCACCAAGAGGAAGCGTCTGTCATATACTCGTGGGCAAAAGGTGGACATTGTAATTATTTTTAAATCTACCAATGAAGATACTCTCTTGTCTAGTTTCTGTTCGTGAATAATTTTAAAGAATATTAACATTATTTAGAATTATTTATACAAAAAATTGTCTGAGTTTTAAAATGATTTTATCTTTATTCAGTTCCGATTTGCTTAAGTTATTATTGTTATTATCCATAAAAGGGTACTATTTCATATACCTATCATGGCACTACGGTATATTTTGTTTTAATTCACTATTATGTACATTAGCTTCTTGAAGCTAACATAGAAAAAAATGTCTTTTATACTTATTATTTATAAGTAGGGCGAAAAAACAAAATTATTTTTATCGTAAAATTATACACCATATAATAAAAGTTACATCGTTGAATCCAAGTGGACTTTACAGAAACGCATTCTCTTGGCGACCGCACTTTAGTCCTACGAGGTTATGCTAATATAACATATTATGTAGGTAGCCATATCGATTAATAACAAAGAAGACGCAGGATTCTGTCTTGCAAGTGCAGCGGACGCCGCCACTGTTATCACCACTAGTCGTGGGGATGTATATCTTCTACATAAATACATGTGCAAGAAGATTGCTATTAAGTAAGTCATAATTTTCTTTACTAGCGTCCCTTCCCGACTTCGTTTTAGTATTTATGTCAGCATACGGCACCTAAACATTTTTCTATATTCATATGGGATGATTCAGAATTCTCATGGCAAATAAATTTAAAAAACGGGTCCGTATTTTCGGAGTCTATTCAATGCAAGCAAACAAACGATCAAATATTTCCTATTTGTAATAACTAGGTTTAAATGACCAGTAGCAGTAGCCATTTGCCATGTTTTTAAATATTAAACCTATTTCACTGCAAAAAATTACAGAGGAAATAGTTTGATTGCCTTTAGGAAAATATTCAATCAATTAAAATTCATTTTAAAATGTACATCAAACCTCTTATCGATTATTTTTCTTTCGTCGATTATCTTTTTGTACATAAAAATAAGCTTGTTTAATTGAAATAATGCTTGTGAAAAAGAAAAGTTTAGATTTTTTCTAAATACCCAACGATTATACTACATTGATTTCATATATTTGTAGGCAAATCAATCTCCGTCAAGTTTGCGTTGAAGCTAAAGTGAGCGATCAAGGGGCGTATTCGCGAGTGACCGTGTTACTACTGACAACTGTCGGCCAATTGCTCATATGGCAAGACACAACGAACCAACTGACCAGGTTTAATTTTTTTTTTATATAGGATAATTCCACATCTTCACCAGCCTAATATCAAAGTCAAGTCCAAAACGAATAGGCAGAATATTCCTTGATCCATCACGCGGGTCCAGTGCTTAACGTACCTTTCGAAGCACGGAGAACCTCGATATAATAAATTTTTGGTCACCCATTCTATGACAGGCCCTTACGAAAGTTGCTTAACCATCGTATCGGAGACCGAACGCACTAGCCACTGCGCCAAAGAACTCCTCTTAATCAACATTTATATTACATTTATCAGCAATTATCTCTGTAGTTATATGGCTCAAATATGGTAACAAAATGTAAACATCTCTTAGTTCCTGGTTTCCTGGTCCAGGCTTTTCTATATTGACTCGGGTCTTGATTTTTATCTCTATAAAGCCGTGGCTTTTAGCTATTTACTTGGAATTTGAGCAATGTATGTGATGTAGTCTAATATCTATTTATATATGTATTATATTATTACTTGAAGCGAAAACTTTGAAACTCTTTTACCAGAATTACGCAGGAGTATAAAAACAACAAAAATAAAACCTTAATAATGCTCCAAATTCATGGTCTTGGAATTTCGACTAGTTGGATTATCATAAGTTTTAATTAATCTTTCATCTCTTGGGGCACAGGACCATATATTAATTTAGTCAAATACATTTTAGGATAAACAAATAATGCTTAAAAATAAATGTATAATTAATATATTCCATTAGGTGCGTGTTCGGTCTTAGTCATCAAACGGTTATAACAAACGTAACGTTAACACACGACGCGCTTTATTTTACAACTAAACATGGCGAAGCTTTCATCGGCACTATCTCGAGGAAGACCACGCCTACTCAGCCACAGACAATTAAAAAGGAGAAAGAGAGAGACAGCAACAAGTCTGCCCTGGTGAAGTTTTTGGAGAAAGACGATTGTACCCCTGTTAGGATTACGAAAATACCTAATGTGCACAGAGCAGTATCAATAATAGTAGATAGTGAGGGTCTGAACTTCGCTTGTTTGCAAGTGAGTATATATCTGAACCCTTTTCATGGATAATTTCCAATAGACATGAGACAACATACATATGTATACGTTATGTACTATGAACGAATTAACATAACACCTGAACCCCTATTCCATTTCTATCAAACTAAATTTCTTCTATTTTCGAAATGCTAATACGACGACGACAATATTATAATGCAACGGAGGTAAGAACTAAACTGTCAGTCAAAGCAGGGACTTTTGATGCACAGATAATTTTATATCTATTATTATAAATATTGGTAGTGTTCTAAGCTACTTAGTTGTTTTATAATCTCTATATGGTTTATGTGATACCGTTACTGGTCGTCGGATAGAGAATGCCGTACGGCATTAAGTCCACCCTTTACTATATTACAAAAAAAGAATAAATAAACAAATCCTCACGTATTTTAACAAAATTTTAGGAATCTTTCGTGATTCTATGAATTTTTGCGCGAGGACAAATAGAATAAACCCTCACGTTTCATGTTAATTTGTACGAGTAATTGTCAATTTACGGTTTCCCGTTTCCGTCATTATGAATGGATTATATATCAATAAAAAATAGCTTTTTTAAAACATTGTACATATATCTAATAATGTTAGTAAAATAAAATCATACAATTAAAACCAAAAATTTGTGTTTAGATAAGGCCCACGTGTGGACTAAGATCATTACCAGAACTATCGGCTTCGGGATTAGCTAAACAAATGGAATCTCTAATGGAGTCAGCATCTGACACCGATCTACTTCACGATGTTGTATTCAAGGTAAAATATTTCCACAGCTATTTTGAAATTTGAAAAAATGCGAATGTTACATCAGATAGGTTCAGGGCTTGGAAACCGGTTAATTTTTTAAACCGGTAGGACCTAAGTACTACTTAAATGGTAAAGGTCCTTTGAACACCTTTGATTTGAACAGATTGACCTGAAATTACCGTTTATTTTATTCATTTATTTATCTTAACCAGTTGACTTTATCAACACTGAATGAACCCATGAATTTTTACAAGGACACTTAGCGCATTTCAATTTATTTTAAGGATGAAGGCGCTATAAGTTCTTAATGAAACGAAATTAACCGATTTATTTTTTAATTCTAATTGTGCTCGGGATTTAGTTTTTCTCTAAAACCGATCATTACATGAATACCGGTGTTACCTAAATAAAATCTGTTATGTCTAAACCAGTTTCAATCCCTGATTGTCTTTTATTAGTAATAACAACTAATATGTTTGCAAATAGGTTGGCTCAAAACTGTTTCCAGCGCACATATTCATAGTAGCATCAAGCAGTGAGTTCCTATACAAGCTGTATCGGGACCAAAAGGAGGTCCCTGGGAATAAACCTACTATAGTCCTGGACCATATACATCCAGAAGTGTTCCAGTGGATCTTAAAGTTCGCTTATACTGGAACGTGTGACGTGGCAGAGTTGGGACAGTGCCCACTCAAAATAAGGAAGGAAGATCTACCAGTTGTGAAGAAAGATAAGAAAAATGAGGATGATGATGAATTAGAGCTAATGGGTGAGTATTTTAAAGTGACACGTCAGTTTCAGCACACTTTTGAGCGACGATATATATCGTTGTTTTAATAGAATATTACGCCATTTTAAATCAATATTGAGGTCATATCTATAAGTTTTTGTTTTTTCAATTTTATACAACCGGAAAATATCTTAAAAACAATTTTTTTGTTTATGACCTTTAATTTTGTCGTTTCTACGGTAGCCGCCATTACGCTACGTATCGTGCCGTCACTTCATTAATCATAAACATTTGACATCAATTTTCTTAACGTTTTAACGGCACTGAGTTCTTGCTCTTTTTACCATCTTGTTCTTGTCTTCTTCAGTAACATTCACAGTTATAGTCACTAAATTAAAACATAGTTATAGTCACTAAATTTATAATTTTTTATTATTTAAGTAAGTATGTAACGGTTTGAAGCATCTTAAATCACTGAGAACTAAAATGTCACTGTAATTGTCAAGTTCACTGTCCCTGTCACTAAGTAATATTTTGGTTATTTCGCTTGCTAAGACCAGTCTATGAATTGGTAAATCATTGTGTGGACATTTCATTAATACATTGTATATGACAACGTTTTCTCCATTACAGTAGACGCATTTAGTGTCACTTAAGTCCATGCAGATGGACAGGAGACTTGCAGTGGCCAACTCTCATCATATGCAGAATGAAATTTGGCCACTGCAAGACTCCCGTCCATCCAAAATCCAAGGTTACACAAGATGATTTTTCAAATTGAAAAGATCTTTCACTTTTATACACAGAAATGGATATATTTTTTATTTAGCAAGTTAAATTTTGAAAACGCCAAGATTGTTATAAGTAAAATACCTTTACAAAAGCGTTTACTATACATTATAATTTCTTACTATTGTAAAGGTTTTCCACGAACACCGTAGTATTTTGATATGTCGAATGTAAAATGCAGTTTAACCATTCACAAAATACCCGACAAACTAACAGATTTAAAACTTATATTCTTAATAAATCTTTTTATATTATAGATTTCTAATACACATTCGCAGAGAACTCTTCCGATATATCGGCGTACGAAGTGTACAAACATCAGAACAAACGCAAACATCGTCGCAGTGTGGAAACTCCGCCGCGACACTCGCACTGTGACCCCGTGAAACTTGTACAGGCGGCCGCTAAGCGGTTACAGTTCATGACGCTCCACAAACTATTAGACAAGTTCTAGTGAGTATTCTACTACATTTAAAACCGGCCAAATGCCAGGGGAGTCCCCTTGATCACGGGTTTATGCGATACACTGTTAATTGCACAAACGTCTATTAAAAACCTCATTGATTTAAAGCTATGACGTGTTCGGTGCTTAGGTAAATGAAATGCTGTCTTCATTAAAACTTAATGAACGTTTGTACAACCGACCGAGCCTGTTGACAGACGGACGGACGGACGGCGGAAACTTGGTAACAAGGGTCCCATTTTACACTTTGGGTACGGACAAACGACTCATAAAAAACTTTTTTATATCAATAAAACCCCTAAAAATTTACTTAAACGACAATGCTTCTCTGTCGTGGTAATTTAAAAGAATAATTACCAATCATTTTCAATTAAATCCCGACACTCACGGTCAATTGCATAAACGTCCATTAAGGTTTAATGACGACTTTAAGCTCTAATGAATGTCAAATTTGTATCGGTAATGTCGCTTTAAACTAATGACAAATTTAATGGACGTTTGTGCAACTGGCTGTTAATCTTGCATTTAGTAAATTGTAGCGTTTGGCTCTTTTGTATCATAAGGTTTCCGACACCTGGTTTATTGACATCTTTTTTTTATTTTTTATCTCAGACGTTAGAGAAAAAGAGAGAGGAAGCCAAGATTAGGAATCATAAACTCAATATTTACTACTTTGCCCTGCATTTTTTTTTATAAAAAACTTATTAATGACACATTTTCTACTAAGTAATTATCCTCTGTTAACAGTTATCGCGATGGCACTATATGCTTGAAAGATTCTGCCACATACACAAAGAACCCTCCACAGTATTGGCAACGGGACTCTTTACCCGACCTAGTAGATACAAACGTATGTTCTAAAGACGGAGTACTGATACCCGCACATAAATGTGTGCTAGCTGCGAGACTTGACTACTTCCAGGGGATGTTCTTGCACTCTTGGACAGAGGTATTATACCATCTTTATACTCATTTAAGTGTTTCTTCTTTTATATAAATTCGTCTTTTCTCCGTTTACAGAGTAAACTTCTATCAAAAGTTAATCTGCCTATAAACCATGGAATACTTCTGCCCGTCATTAACTTTTTGTACACCGACGCCTGTCCAGAAGTAGACACATCCGACAGTATAGACTTCATCTGCAGCATGCTTATAGTCGCCGATCAATTGTTTATAACCCGCCTCCGTGAAATGTGTGAGGTCGCTTTAGCCAACCTTATTACACTGAAGAACTGCGCTGAACTCTGCCAATTTGCTCACACTTATAATGCCGTCCAGCTCAAACAGTGCTGCATGGAATTCATATCCCTTAACTTATCCAGTATCCTCGAAAACAAAACTTTAGACGTCATAGAAGAGAGTTTACTTGCCGATCTGTCAAATTATTATTGCAAATTCAACCCCATCATGTCATCCAGAGTGATAACTCCTTTTTATTGCGCTCCAAGTGATGAGGTAATTGAGGAATGCGCTATGAACTATCCGATAAATTTAGATCATACGGATGAGGATATGAAAAAGGACGATACTTTAGATGCCATTAAAAGAAAAGGCAAACATTCCAAGAAGATCGAGTACACGGAAAGTGAAAAGGCTAGAATGAGATACGAATCTGTGAGTTCAGTGACGTCATTAGATCTTTCGAATGAAACCTCTGGAGATATAACACTGTCTCTAAGTAATATATCGAAATCATCGGAGAAAGGTGCTCGGGATAAGCAAGAGAAGTGGATTGAGGTGCCGTCTGCTGTACAGAAACAGCAAAAGATTATTCAGGCGAGATTGAAAGCTGTGAGCAATGCAAAAGATATACTTAATGAGCCTCAAACTGAACAATTGACTAGGTTGACTAAGAATTCCTCGTTTAGGTCTATTGTTCGAAGTCAGGAGAATACTCCAACCACTTCGCGTGTATCTGTTTCGCCGAAGGAATCGCTTCTAACGGAACTATCCAGAAGCCCCCAAGGCAACTTGGTTATAAGTCATGTTGGACCAAAACTGTCCCAAAAGCAAAGAAAAAAAATGGCAATGCTTGGCGAATCTTCGTCGCACAACTTAACTGACAGTTTTGTTAATAAATTAATAATAGAAAGTCCACCTGAAAAGCCGAAAAACCCGTGGAAGGTTTGTGAACCTCCCGTCGCTAGCAGCAGTCCTAAAGCCAAAACTATTGAATTCAATAAGATCCTGACGGACCAAAAGAAACAAAAAGAGGACCACTCCAGAATCATGACTAAACCACTTGCATTAACTCAGGTAGTTTTTATCATTAAAACACGTTTCTTTTGTTTATATAATGTACTACTGATTAATTGGTGCAGATGAGGCACAGGATAGAAAACTTGATTGGTAGCAAGCATTTGATCACTTTATAAATGTTGATAGAAAATCATTATTGTAGCAACAAACGCTGAAATCTACAAAATTTCTAATCAATATATCAAACATTCTTATTCTGAACTATCCGATAAAGTCTAGAAAAAAAAAAATGGTCAAATGTGAAGTCAGAATTGTGTAGATTTTTTGTAATCATAAAATTACGGCAATATATTGAGTTAAAATGTCACATGACATCATGCTTTTGTACATTTTCTACAATACTATGACATAACGAGCCTCCACTCCTCAACTTTAGTGTCTGTTATCAAAGCTGTTTCTTGTTAAAGTGAAGTAAAAAAATAAAATATCTATCTAATATTTTTTTATTATCTGACTGACGGACTAAACAGAAATTATATACTTTATTTAATATACATAATTAGCATCTTTCTTATTATGTATATTAAATATGTATATATCTTTCTTTGTGATTATTTTAAGAAATAATCTATTTGGTATTTAAATAGTGTGTACATTAAATCCTATATAAACTTTCCCAGCTTGAAGACAAGGCAATAGAAGAGTTGGAGAGATTCTACAATATCTATGAAATTGATGATGAACTGATCACAGTGAGACGTATTGAGCTTCAAGTGTTTTCTCCACAATGGGTTCACAGTGCCCCCAAGTGATAACTATGTGCTATTTTATATTAGTGATTATTGATATTCTTGACATTATGTTGTAAACTATAGATAATAAATGTATATTTTAAAAGTTGTTGATTTTATTAGCACTAATCTCATTTATAAGTTAAATTAAGACATTACATATGTCTAAATTTAAGATAATATAACCGAGTAGTAAGATTACTTAAGATAATATAACCAAGTAATAGGTGCAGTAGCACATTAGACTATGCCTATACATCTGGCAAATTTCTCATATTTAATACTTGGTTGGTAGAGTTTAAAATCAACTGCAGAAATTCAATGTATTTTGGTACCCATGTACAATCTGCAATTTAAAGATCTATCAAATTGCAGCAATAGGTTTTTGGAACTACTAAATGTGAAACCTGATCTGTCTATAATTCTTAATTAATGTTTACAGTTAATAAAGAAAATTTATTTTTATGTGATATAACAAATCTATGGAGAAGTAAGAATATTAAAGTGAAACTACTTTTTCTAAGTTTCATCTTGGCTTAAAGAAACAAAAGACCTTTGACAAAATGAAAAGACCTTCCGTAACTCATAAAATTCTTTGCCATCTAAATATAATTGGAATAAAAGCTATTGTTTGTTTTAATATGTAGTGACTAACAAAGAGAATGCAAAAAAAATCTACTATGGTATAAAAGCACGTAATAATAATATCGCGCTATATTCAAAGCGAATAGAAAGAGAGATGATAAAAGAACTCAAAATAAGTTGATAAATATTTATTTCCATAACCTGGAAGAACTATACAGAGCTATTAATTTACCAGATTTCAAACTATTAAACTATTTCTTAGGGGGAAACCTTCTTAAGAGTTTGTTTAATTGTCTATGAGTTAAGGTCTTCTCTCCAGGAACAAGAATTCCTTTCCTTCCTTGCTCGCGTGATAGTTTCATTTTGTCATTGTAGTTGTTAAAGCAAGTTTGAAAAGAAGCGACTTCATTCAAACACTCCTGCTGATTGAACTCAGTTTTCTTAAAACATGCGAACATAACAGCCATTTCTTGCATACATACGGCTTCTTTTAACTTGTCTCCTTTACCAGAAACAGTCTTCCCTAGTTCTAGGGGCAAAAGCATTTGAAAGGGAACAGGATCCTTTTGTGGTCTCCTGCTATTTGCCTGGTTTGCAGCCGAGAATAATGTAGTGTTAAATCTCATTTTAGTGGTATAAAATACTTAGAACAAATAAAAATAGGATTGAGGTTATTTATTTAGAACTTCATTCTTGTCATGTCAAATAGACTTGTCAAATAAATATCGATACGTCGACATATCGATATTGTAAATACGATATATCCATATTTTTAGGCGATATATTTTGTAACGTTACATCGATATCAAATATCCAATATCGAAATTGTAACAAATAAGATATTTTCTTTTGTTTTTATTTGAACGAGAAAATTAAACAAAAAAAACATTCAATTTTCCTTCCCTTATCCGCACAATTTTACTCTTTGGTTATCCTTACCTAACGAACCTCAACGTGCGCGTTTTTCTACATTTGAGTTGATTGTAGTCTACAATCTTATTAATTGAATCAATAATTAATTTGAGCATTCCAGTCATATCTAATGTTGTATAGAACTTTTTCAAAAAAATAGACAAATAAAACGTTTCATGTAATATGTGTGGGAAAAAGAGTTCCTCAGGGTTCTATATTGGGACCTTTACTTTTTATATTATATACGGCCGATATAACAAGAGTAATCGAATATTGTAGCTACCATTAATATGCAGATGACGTCCAGCTATATATCGTATATCGGCTCATCCACGTGAATTTCTTGAGGCAATCGCAAAAATGAATGAGGATCAAAATGCTGTAGCAGTGTGGGCAATGGATAATGGCTTAGTACTTAATTCTAGCAAAACTAAATATATGATCCTTGGTTCAAAGTCACAAGTTTGCCAGATCATGAAAAATAAGCCATATATCAAAGTTATAGGGCAACACACGGACCACGTGAAAGAGGCTAGGAACTTAGGCGTAGTTATGGATAGTTATTTACGTTTTGAAACCCATATACTGAATTTAGTTAGAAACTGTTTTTATGGCAGAATATCAGTGATTTGCCTCCTTGTAGGCAAATCGTATCCTGAGCCTTGACCCTTTTGCATTGCTGCAACACACAACCGACATATTTCTTGTTTTTAATTTTATTTCTGTTTCTTTGTGATTTATTTGTTTTAAGTTTTTTGTGATAAGATTTGAGTGGAGAGGGGGAGGGGTAGTCTTAAACCTCACCATGTATCCATGTAAAGTAGAAAAAGGAGGGTTAAAAAATGTTGAAAAAACATCATGAGAACAACAAAAAATTAGTAAATACAAGTAAGTAAATTTTAATTACTTACCTAAATATCATTTATCTAGAAAAAATTTAAAAACTTCAATGTTTAATTTTTTCTACGTTTGGTCACCTAAATTATTTTTAATTAAATAACATCAATATGCGGGATAAACTGAGGTAAGGAAAACCACAGATGAAAACTGATTCAAGATGGCCATTTAAAAGCTAGTCAAAACTGTATACAAACGTTTTAAAAATTAATGACAGGGATGTTGATGTGTGCATTGTAACAGTGTGCCCTATGTAACACTGAGCCCACCTAACTCTACCTACATATTTCAGCGATTGTGATAATTCTACCCGCCTATTAGCTGAAATTAGGGTTAGAAGTTTGTATGGAAGTCAATCATTTTTCAATTTAGAAATATGACTATTTTTCATATTCATTTGGTAAGTTTTAAAGTCAAAGTCAAAATAATCTTTATTCAAATAGACGTCTTAAAAGTACATTTTTGTTCAGGACGTCTTTTAGCTGATAAAAAGAAACTCACCAGCTCTAATAGGAGTAATGACATTTACAAAAACCATGTCATAACCAGATCAATTCATTATAAATAGAGAGAGAAAAAAAACTGTGGTCTTATAATGATAACATTATCATTTAATAATAATGGAAGATAATTTAATTAATATTTTTAATTTTTGATATATACTAAATGAGTTAAGAAGTAATCAACTATCCAGTTGCTGGATTATCTCAAGTCCAAGCATTCTTATCTGTTATATAATCGGATACCTTTTAATAAGTATTTTTTTAATAGTAGATTTAAACTGCATGATATCTAATTGTTGTATTTTGCTTAGGACCTTATTGTAGAAGCGCACACAAAGACCACTGAATGAGTTATTAACTTTTTGCAGTCTAATGACAGGCACCGTTAATTTATTTTTATTTCTTGGATTAAAATTGTGTACATCACTTTTTATAGAAAACAAACTAATATTTTTACGAACGTACATTAAGTTCTCGTATATGTATTGAGAAGCAACAGTCATTGTGTCTATTTCCTTAAAATTCTCCCTTAAAGAGTCCCTAATCCTAAGATTATAAATTAATGAAATTGCTCTTTTCTGAAGCAGAAAAATCGTTTGTATGTCGGCAGCATTTCCCCACAATAGGATTCCGTACGACATCACACTATGAAAGTAATTGAAGTATACTAATCTAGCAGTATCTATGTCAGTTAACTTACGTATCTTCATTACGGCATATGCTGCAGAGCTATATTCCTAAAAATACTGTGGTATCCATGAGGCCCATGTTCTTATCTTTTATATTAACATTTATATCTAATTTTTTAACATTAGGTAGTACAAATTTTAAGCATTTTGTTTTTCCTTCATTAAGGAGAAAATTATTTACTTACATTAAACCAATGTACTACTTTAGCGATAGAATTGTTCACATTGTCATTTAAAGGTGGCTCTCTTTTAATTTTAAACAAAAGTGAAGTGTCATCCACAAACAAAACTATTTCGTGATCATCCCTTACGAAATAAGGCAAGTCATTTATGTAAATTAAAAACAAGAAAGGACCAAGTATTGAGCCCTGCGGAACACCCATCTTAACTTTCGATCCAGGGGATCTTTTGCCATTGATATCAACCCTCTGTACTCTGTCAGTCAAGTATGAGACAATAAAATCCAATGAGTTATCTCTAAATCTATAATAATGAAGTTTCCTAATTAATGTTTCATGAAAAACACAATCAAATGCCTTAGATAGGACGTAGATAACATTTAACGCATTATGTGAATCTTCCCAGACATTAAAAATTTTAAGACTGGAATTTCAGTAAATAAATTTTCAAATACTGTAGCAACTTCAATATCTGATGTTACTTTTTTATTATCAATGTTTAAATTAAAATTTATATTCCCGGATTTTTCTCTTCCAGTTTCACTATTTATTGGTCATTTTAACTTTAGCTTTACTGTTTTTAATTTTTGTATTTAAATAATGACATTTGGCTAAACGAGACACTTTTTTTAATAATTGAGAGTAATTTCGTTCATTTTCTTTGAAGTCCTCACTTGTGTTATAATTAAGTTCATCGTATAGTTCAATAGAGCCTTTTTCTGCTTTTGTAGATTCCTGATGTAGCCCATACACTAAAAGTTATAGGATTACAAATACTATTTTTTTTGGGACAAAAATCTTATTGAATTCTATACAATAAACATCAAAGAAATCTTTGTACAAATGATTGGGATTACTTTTATGGTTCAAATACTTAAAACTATCCAATTTTAACTATCTAATTGATTTTTAAAACGTTCCAAGCGACTCTTACTTTTTGACACAACTGTAATGTCTCTCCTAGCCACAAACGTGCATTTATGCGGAAAACTAACTATTTGTCCAAAATGATCTGACAGTAGTTGTTTATCTGTTTTGAAAGTGGTATCAGACCTGTAAAAATGTTGTCAATACATGTGGACGAAGTAACGGTTACTCTAGTAGTCTCCTTAAACATGTGTGCAAGATTATAGGACATAAATAGATTTACAAGTCTTGTACATGAATTGGAGTTTCCTAATAAATCAACGATAAAATCACCCCCAATCACTAATCGTTTGCCTTTGCTTAATTTTTTTTTAACCCAAAGTTCCGAGTACTTTTTTCTTTAACTATTGGCTCATCAAAGAAATACCAACAGTAGATAACGAATTAAATGCCAGTGTATTATCAATGAAAGTCACAAAATAATTCGCTTTTATTTATTATTAAAATTATTGAATGTTGTAAAACGCCATACCAACCTCAAGCAAGTGTAATATCAAAGTCTGCGAATTATCACACAATATCATTAAATAGGATTACACATTTTGATTATATTACAAAACAGTTTACGATCACCTTCTTCTATAAAACGTTAAAAAGAAGTTAATTATTTATTATCAGACAACGATAGCATTATTTCAATTTCACAAACTATGTTCACCATTCACAGTGCGACGGGTTATACAAACCTGACCAAAATCCATTCGATTTTAATCCATTCTATTGCAAATACATATTAGTATGTTATTATCAGTGGCGGTTATAATAACATACAACGTACATACAATCCCCATACAAATCTAGTAGCGAAAAAGTAATAAGTGCTTTTAATATTCGTCAGTGCTGTTAGGTCCTGGGTAACTCAGTGATAAGGCAGTCGCCTGATTGCCAAAGATCATGGATTCGAGTCCCATCTCAGAGCACCAGGGACAAGGTGGATTATTTAAGCATTTATTCATTTATTTTTTAGAAAAATAATCTCAATGAAAATCTTTGTTTAAAAAATACTTTAAAAAATTACTCTGTCAGATGCCGGAAATAAATTCAAAGCCGTATCGTTTCGTTTGACAGTTACGGAATGATTACGAATGATGCTAGCAAGTCTGTACCCACTCACTGTATCCGTGCCCACGATGCAAGGATAGTGCATAACGCATTCCCCTTGCGTCAAAAAGGCTTGTACCCACTGCACTCATAACTATATGCAACAATAAAAACAAACTCAAAAGGTGTAAATCAGATTTATTAATAATTATAATTATCTAATAGTTCGATGTGAGTAGCAATCACAGAGCAGTTGTCCTGTTGTTCATCAATATAATGAACAACATAATGCTAGGTATAGTCTTGGAATTTATGTGGATTCAGTTCAGTTTAATTGTTCGGGGAGGACCATAGCGGGCTCCGGCAGTATATCAATGGGTGCTGGGACAACGGGGATGGGCATCGGAAGGTTATCGATGACTACTGGATCGGGTATGGTTACCTCAGGGTTGGGAGCTACAATTATTGGTTCAGGAGCAGGAGCGATGACAATTGGTTCAGGAACGACCACTTCAGGGTTGGGGGCGACAATTATTGGCTCAGGCGCAGGCGCAA